TTGAAACATCTTTGGGGGGGGGGGGGTTATTTTTTCCCCCCCCCCCCCCCCCCAAAGATGTTTCAAAAACTAGTGAGTGCAGTCAGAAGATCATAACCAGCTAGCTGTTTAGCAGAACACGCCTCAGCATCTCCTAAATCAGGAGCAGACTGACTTTATTGAAATACTGAGAGGTTAACTAGTGAGGCCATTTCTGGTAAATACAAAAAAGGAGGTTTTATGCAAGATTATGGAAGAAAAACAGCTGAATGGGAACAGAACCAGGTCAGGTAGGCGTAAGCTTGCGTGTGGTATAAGACAAAATGTGTGTGTGTGTGTGTGTATGTGTGTGTGTGCGTGTCTGTGGGGGTATGTGTGTGTGTGTGTGTCTGTATGGGTATGTGTGTGTGGGTGTTGGTTTCATGAAGAGGGACGCCTGTGTCACCATGGTGGCCTCCTCGATGACGCCGTAGTCGGCCTGCTGCAGGTAACGGTGCAGGATGTTGCAGAGCAGGCAGGACGGGCTCTCGTGCAGGTACCGCGCCCGCTTGCTCACTCGGTTGTACTTGCTGCGGATGGGGATGTGGATGCTCTTCTTCTGTGGGGGGGCAAGAGGCGCAAGCTGGGTTCAGGGTGACGCCATGTCGCCGAGAATAGAGCGCAGGAAGTGAGGCCGACGTCTGAGTGCACAGATCCACAAAGGAACATTCCAGAGGCTATTTTGAGGGGCTAACGTTGTTGCACCGGTGCGTGACAGGGGAGAGGGGACTCTGGTGGCCAATCAGGTTTCAGCTGACCCCTCCTCTGTATACAGCCCTGAATAAAACCCTCTAAGCTACACAGATGGGATATCAGAGAAAAAGACATAAAGATAAATATCAGAAAATACTGGTGCTGGTAACTGTATTGATTAATTTTCACATCCCTGTGGGTAAAACAGGGATACCCTTGACCTGGAGGGCTGAGCTGCACAGGCTTTGTAAACATTTTAACTAGAAAAATCTAGAATATAGAAAAAACTATGTCTGTTCAGATCAGATGTAACGTGGAGGTTTGTATGCTCTTCATGCAGGAACTAGGGCATGTGCAGAATGATATGGGCACAGACAAAACACGTGAATTCCTGTAAGGGCCGGTTTATATTCTACGTGTGCAATGCATGCATTAATGCGTGTTCCCCTGCATGCATTAATGCGTGTTCCCCTGCATGCACTGATGCGTGTTCCTCTGCATGCACTAATGTGTGTTCCCCTGCATGCATTTATGCGTGTTCCACTGCATGCATTTATGCATGTTGTCACTACGCAAGTGGTGCTGCTTCCCATACCTGCACGCGTAGTTTATGTCAATCTGGAGGATTAAAAGTGCAACCGGAGGCTCCATCTTTCCAGTCTTACTCGTTTATTTGAGTGTGTCATGACATGTTCTGCACTCACTGCCTCCACAATGAGTTGCTAATTTTGTAACACATTTTCTATATTCTAACCACTGCTCTACATCACACTGGCACTTCACTTTGCCACATATTACTTTACTCCCTGATGTTGAGTGCTGCATTATTTGTTATTAGATATCGTTAGTAGTTAGTATACCATACTTAGTATCACGGCTGAATGATATGGGAAAAAAATCCATCTTTTACAATAAATACTGCAATATTTACAAAGCATATAAAGCAAAAAAAACTGTTCAAAATAAATCAATGTCTTACAGACACGTATATGAGTGATTTAAACATCAAGGAGGAAAATGATTAGGATTGGGTAGGGGGACACATGCTGAGTTCATGCAAAAGTAGCTTTGGTAAACTTTAAACTAATGTACGTTTTTTCCCTACAACAATAAAAATGTTCGTTGCTCTCAGCGAATTTTATCACCAAGATTTCTAAATACTGTACAGTATATATTTTAATAGATGATGGAGCCCCCTAGTGGCTGCTGGGCTCCAAGCAGCCGTTTAGTTTGCTTAGGAGGCATTTTTAGGGGGCGTGGTAATAGCAGCGTGACCTCTGACCTCTAGGGCCTCCGTCATGATGCAGCCCATGACGGCACAGATGCGCAGCGTGGATTCGGTGTCCAGCTTGCAGAGGGACGACTTCAGCTGGTCCACGGGCACGAGCCAAGCACCGATGCCGGGTGTGGCCGTGCTCAGGAGGTTCAGCTGCCTGCCAACGACAACACACTGTGCTCAGGAGTGTGGGAGACAGCTGATAATCCAATCACTCTGCAGGATGGAGTGGGCTACAGGTGGGGCTTACTGTGGGGGGCGGAGTTTAGCTTTGGTATAGAAATGGACATGGATTTGATCTCATAATGGAAAATACAGTCCACATTTTTGCTCCCTCCCAGCTCGTAGCCAATCAGGAACGCCGAATACCTGGTACAGGTGTGCTAGGAGTTAAGAGGAACCAAAAACGAGGACTGTCCAGGGTTCCCCAAGGACTGGGTTGGGAAACACTGCCCTAGTGAATCTCAACATGATCTTACTATAAATATTATGACTATAACATTATCAGTAGTATTGCATCTACCTTAACCGTAACCCTGGGGTGGGGAACCTGTTCCATGGAGGTCTGGTGTGGGTGCAGGTTTTTGGGATGACCTCTCAATCAGCCAATAATAAAACAATGTTTCTCACCTCCAGTCGTGGGGACCCACTGTGATTGGCTGATTTAGAGGCCATCCCAAAAACCCGCACCGGCCCTCCATGGATCAGGTTACAGACTGGGGTCATGGGTGCAATGGGAGAATATTAATTAAGGGGAGTATGGGTGGGGCTTCCTGTAGGAGGCAGAGTTTAGGCCAGGATCTAGCTGTCAGTGGACTGATTGGCATCACATGTGTGGTTCTGCGTGGGTGAAGGTACCTGGAGAAGGCCTGAGCGGGGGAGCGGACGTTGGTGGGTGCAGCGAAGCTGAACCAGATCTCCCTGATGGTCAGCTTCATGCTGCTGGAGTCGGGGGGCGGCGGCATGAGGGGGAGGTCCTTCTTCAGCTCATCTGACTCCACCCCTTCATCCTACAGGATACAGCAGGGAGCCAATCAGGTTCAGCGAGACGATCATCATGCACAACAGACGAAACTGATTCTCACACCTAGTTAATATAGTACTTGCTTGAGATAGAAGATGTGCGACAATCCATTAATGATGAACAAATGTGAGACCAGTTTGTAACTAACACTTTATTTGTGGTTAACTAATACATAAGTAATAGCATAATACTACATTATTTGTTTCCCCTCAAATAAAATGTTACCCAAACAGCTATGTAAAACTTTTGGAAAAACATTTATGAAAACAGACCAGACAGCCAACACATTCACTGGGCAGAAGCTTGTATCCATTTATTGAGAAATCAGAGGCAGACAGTCCCTGGGGCCACTTGGGGTTAAGGGCCCAGAAGAGAAAACACTCTGCCAGCCCTGAGATCTGAACCGGCGACCTTCCGGCTGCCCCTGGAGGGTCCTGACAGAGACATTTAAGGCCTCAGACAGGAAACGTTTTTGAGGGCATGAGGAGACACGTAATGTACAAGCAGAAATAGGAGAAGAAAGGTTGCTTCGGTATGTCTGACGAAAATGTACTGTGTAAATGTCCATCCAATCATCCATCCATTCATCCAATCATCCATCCATTCATCCAATAATCCATCCATCCATCCAATCATCCATCCATCCATCCAATCATCCATCCATCCATGTGTAAATGTTTACATGTTTATTATTCAAATGTTTCACGTAGAAAACCATCTAGACCCATATACCCCTTCAGGCCTAACAGTTACACTGATACATTCAGCTACACACAAGTATACCAACGTAGACACTAAACTATTTTCTGGTACTTTTTTCCAGTTTTTACAAAAGCAATCCTTTGAAATTCAGGAACAAACGCAGCCTGAATGCCCGCTCTCATTTTAAAGGAGCGACAGGCACCTTAAACTCTAAATAGTGAATATCAATTGAAACTTCAGAGAGAGATTTCAGATGAACTTAAACACTAGAAATGAAATTGGCTTGTTTATCAGTGAAGTGTGAAGTATCTGTTGAGGAGGCGGATCAGAGGGACTCACAGTGACCCCGCATCTGTAACACAAAGTCCACTTCATTGCAGTTCTAATGAGCTGCTTTGTTAGGTGAGGATGTATTGATTAGCCCGGACCCGACAGCAGCGGGGTGCGTTAATTACAGAGGCTGGGGGCCGTGGGGGACCAGCTGCGGGCTTTGAAAGGTGTTTAGGGGCGGGCCCTGACCCACCTGCTCATCCGAGTCGGAGTTGCCGTTGACGTCGTCCGATGGGCTGGTCGCGTCGCGTGGGAAGTCGTCCTCGGACACATCGGTGCTGTAACCGCTGCCCGGCTGGGAGCCGGTGGAGCCATTGGGCTTGGAGGACCCCGTCTTCCCGTTGCCGTCCGCCTTGCCCATCACGCTGAAGGCGCTGTACAGCACGGCCCCAGACTGGCGCCCCCCTGTGGCAAATAAACAACACTTTCTTAGAGCAGCGTTTGATAGCCGTAGGTGTGCGACTTCACCAGGATGAGTTTTTCCAGTAAGACACTCAATCTAAAAGATGATACACTGTACAGTAGCACAT